CCAGCCCCTCACTGGGGGATTCTAGGCAGGGGCTCTACCACTGAGCCCCTCCTTTTCTCAAGACCTTCCTGTAATGACAACCACACACTCATTTCCTGTCTCTACCACATGTGTCCAGTATAACCACAGCAGCAGTCTGCCATCGCCTGGTTTCAGGCTCCAGGGCCCTTCGCCTCATGAGGCGAGTCCTGCCCTCCCTCTTGTGGACATCTGCTCCCCTCCAGCCAATAGGAGCTGACTCACAGTTTGGACTGCTCGACACAGGATGAGGGGAATAGAAATGTGGCTCTGCGTGGATGTGGCAGCCATACTTATCTATTTTCTACTTCACTGAAGAGAGCCTAGGTCTAGAGTCAGTTATAAAAACAAGAAAGCAGGGGACTAATTGGATGGCGCCTTCAGGGACCCTGCCAAATGCCTCAAACCACGGGCCCGATTCCAAACTCATCCTGCTAAAAGGATTTCACACACAAAGTGCTTTTTGGAGGGCTCATCTGCAGCTGAGCAGTGGAACCCCAAGCACACCTCTGCCAAGTGAGACGGGATTTGGTGAAGAGGAGCCCTGTGCAGGCTGGGTGGGGGCTGCTTTACCACCTCCCACAGCCCGGCCTCCTGTTTTCAAACTGAATGTCCTAGAGAGGCTGGTACTGCCCACTCTACTCTCCAAGACTGGTGGACATGTGAATAGTCTCCCCTTTAGCACTCTCTGGCAGGTCAGCTAGTGCACACTGTACCCCTGACATTCTCTACACCTAGGTGTGGCAGGACAGGTGTTCTGGAGACAGCTGCATATTTCTCTCAGTAGGAGGCTATGTTCCGGGTGGCCCAGGCCTGGCTGGAGGGATGAGCACAGACAGACTTGCCCCTAAGGGGCGGCTGGATGAGCCAGGGTACACTCTAAGTCAGGGCAGGCAATGTGAATGCCCAGCCTGCCACTGACCTAAGCAAGTGACAGAAACTTTTCTGGCCCTCTCTTCTTCCATCCTAACAGCCCCATCCCAGGCT